TTTTTGTATACATCCTGATTGAAATGATTAATAATTAAAAATACAATATAATTTGATTTATTAGCAATGTTTAAATATTACCTATTTCAGTCAAAATGTCAGTTTACTAATAACTAGAGCTCGGGGCTTCTAGGAACTTGCATGTTTTTAAATAATTATAAAAAACATAGCTAAGTAATATATAAATTTGTTTCATAACAATACAAGTTTATATTTAAAATTTATAGTTGCATATTTTGCATATTTGACCATTTTTCATTTTATAAATGCATATTTGACAATTATTCATATGAAGGAGTAAGTTTTTAAATTTTATAAAAAAAAATATGATTTATTTCTTCATATATCACGTGACTTGGAACTCAAGGTGTCATATTGGTGCACTAATTGAATGCATTAAAATAATTAAAACTACAAAAAACGTATACATTCTGCAAAAATTGAAGAATCTGCACAAGCTAAGGCTAACTACAAAAAATATCGAACATTTTAAATGGAAAAATGAATCTATGGATGGATTACCTGTAGATATTAGTAGTAGTGACCTACGATTTTTTAAGTTTGCACCAATAAGTTCCGTAGACGTATAACGTACCTTTTCTAAATATAAAATTATTTTGGCTGATAATAGGCAGTCATTTAAATTTTCCAACTGTAATTATGTAAATTAGTCTAATGTAATGCTCAAGGTTAGAAGATTTATTATATTAAAAATAAAAAAAAATGTTTTCAATTTAATTTATTTTTAAAACCATTTTAAGTATTTTGTTTTAGATAAGAACTCAATATAAGATGAAAAAAAATTTGAAAAAAAGAAAAAATTATCTCAGATCATCATATCTATCATATATAAAAATATTATTATAATTTATTACTAGTTAAATTTTTTATTTAATTAATTATTACAAATATAATTTTTTTAAATACATATTTTAATAGCATATTTATTGATTCATTAGGGCATAAATTTTATTTTTAATTTTAAGGACATTTTAAGGTTCTTGAGGGCATGAAGTCCCTAGCTCTACTAATAACCATTGCCCGTATTTGACCCGAGTGCAGTTACTGCAGAGTTCGACCATTCCATTTTAGACAAGTAGTGCAATTCGACTAATTCCCGCGGAATGTAACTGCTGAACAATTCAAACAATATTACGCGTGTACATAAGCCAGGATGTAGTTGAATGGGGGCATATTAAGACAACAAGGGTATTTCCTCCTACACTTTTTTTTTTTTCACTGTTTTGCTATGATAATAATTAAATTATATTATTATGACTACTCGCATAGTGGTGTTTTTTTTTTTTCTAATATTTTATCCGTAGTTTTCCTCTTCTGTATAAAATCTTTCGTGTATTTAAAAAAAAAAGAGGAATACATATAAATATATATATATATAGAATTTGTTAAACTTAAACTGTCACGAGTATTGTCCAAAAATCCAGGATATTCTTCAATTAAAACAATTTAACGAAAGCGGAGAAATAAGTGACGAAAATCTTGACATTGTAGAATTGTCACCTGAAGACATATTGTGTAAATTATATGCTAAAAGTGTCTTGTGACGTAGAAAGAAGTTTGTCAAAGTATAAATCTCTACTAAATGACAACCATTAAAGCATCTGTTTTAATAATTTGAGATTATATTTTGTAATTCCGTGAAGGAACTCGTTCCAGAATTAATTTCTTTTGTTGTTAGTTCTGAATTCGTATAATTGATCCATACGCAATCAGTAAATCGCAATAATTTATACGATGCAATATACTTGTAATGACTTTTTTTAGTACACGCTTTAACGATCCTTTAAGATTTGTTTTGTCTATTTTTTTTTTTTTTTTTTACATATTTTTGAATTTTCATGCGGATAAACATGTACATATTCAATAACATAGTTTGTATACGAAACCGGGCTATAATTGTAATTAATATTCTGCATTCAGCGGCGTAGCCAGGGGAGGGGGTTAACGGGTAATAACCCCGTCCTCCCGAGATGTCTCTTTGTTTCTGTAAGATGTACAATAGTTTTAAGACATAGGTATAATGTCTTATCACGTCCAACACCAAACAACCTTCGAAGTTTAACGAACTAAACGGTAACACATTTTAAATTTAAACTTACGGACTTACGGACCTGTTAAAATTAAAAATTTGGTAATGATTAATTAGTAGGGAGAAATTTGAAAATTTAAAAACCCATACGAAATACTTTTCTGGCCGTGCCATTGTCCGCACTTTAATTTTATTATTATTGAACTTTGACGTTCGTAGTTGGTAGTCCTGTTGTTCGAGCTTAGAACACAGTTTATTTTTTAAAATATTTTATGTTTTCTCAGAACAGTGAACGATTTTGATGAGTCAAAATCAAACGTAGTACAGATTTCGGCTCTCCCCTCCAGAAAAACGATCCCGAACACACCACACCGGTCCAAGCAGCAGCGACGGTGTTACGATAATTTAATGCAAGCGGTTCGTTCGCTCCACGAACAACATCGGTAACGTAATGCAACGCGCGCAAGGAAGGTCGCCCGGGGACGGCAACGAACGGCCTTGACCCTTATACATCCTGTACGGTGTCGAGCGGCGTCGGACGGCGGAACTTGCGATCGCGTTACCCGACCGTTATCGTACAATATATCGTTACGATCCACGGCATAACACTAACATCAACGTCTAAAACAGTTTGGTCCGGCCCGCGACCCTTGAAGCCTTTTTTTCTGGCCCTCCTCCGCAGAAGACTAATATTGTAACGAGATCGTTGTATGATTTTATGCTTTTTAAGTTTTTTTTACGTAGGCATACCGCGCAACGAGTAACGTCCGAAACCACGATTTAAATCGGTTCACTGCGTACGTACGTCTTCTCGTTTTTAGAGCAGCCACAGCGAATTCGATTTCTCGTGATGGCAGGTATCGTGGTTGTAGTTATTATTAGCCGGCGATTGTTGACTGCAAGTGTTACTGGATACTGATATGATTTTCTTTTCGGCGGCCCTTAACGTACTTATGAAAGTGTAAATTGGTCCGCCAACTGCAAAAGGTTGGAGCATCCTGATCTAAACCATAGAACTAAATCTGTCTCGCAACGTAAACCGTTCGTTTTCCCGCCTTCGATTCGGACATGCTCTTCACACGTCTTCAAATCGTCTCTCAATGCCTCTACGTTCTCTCTCGCCCACGTTTCTGGGATGTTAACCTTCGCGGCTCGAGCTACTCTTGATTCCGATCGCATACTTTCATCCCGATCATCCTAAGCAGCCATCGTTGCAACGTCCGTTTCGATTCTCCTGTAGAAAATCGCTCCGTGACCAATTTTCGAGACAGTTTTGCGTTCAAGGGCGTATTTGGACTTACTTCTAGGGAGGGCTACTCAAATTTTTTCTTTAATTCAGGCTCAGAATTTACAATTTTTGATAATATTTATATCAGGTGAATCCTTAATATTTGTGGGTTTTTTTTTTTTTATCTAATGCCGGATCCACTTAGAATGGTCTTTTGTGTAGTTCTTTTTTAACACCTATATGTGTTTTAAAAGTTTCGTTTGTGTTTTATCCAATTTTTCACTAAGTATGGACTGGGTCTTCAATCAAAATAATATATATTATTTATCGTTATGGGACATATAAACGTAATAAGTAATTGAGCGTTTAACGCTATAAATAATTTAAACGTCATTCAATTTAAGCGTTTAAAAAATTTTCCGTTTACCGTTATTGACAATTAAAACATTATGAAAAATTTGAAACGTTTTCGAATGTAGTAATACTATGAAATAATAATAATTTTTGTTTCTTAATAAATTACCTATTACTTATATAAAAATTGTCTTGGTGTAAAAATTCTCGGGGGGGGATGCCCCCATCGCTCGCCCCTCTCTCAAATACGCCACTGTTTGCGTTTCGAATAAAAACGGGTAAAAAAAAAAAAATGGAAACGGAACGGATTAAATAGCGTGTGACGTAATCCGAGTTAGGTTAGTGTCGTCCACACCGCGTCGTCGTCGTACGAGGAACATTCAAGTGGGCAGCGGGTGAAGACTAGGGTTACCAACTTTTATTTACAGACAAGCGGAAAATCAGATATTTATATGCGGGACATGCTTACAAATTTACAGAAACAAGAGAAAACGATTTTAATAATGTTTATCAATAATTTTTAAAATTTGAAATATTCATATAAAATTAACAGAATAATCGCTATTTTAAAATAATCATCACAAGTTTTTTTTTTTTTAACACAAATTAGTAAATAAAGCACTTTGCCCAAATAAATAGGGTAAATTGAGTACCCTATTCATAGACCTTATACTAGTATAAGGTCTATGACCCTATCATAAGACAATAATTTTTTTCTTTTTGAAAGAGTGCTTGTGTACCGAATACGGAATTGAATGTATGAATACTACCAATTTTTGATCAAACCGGTACGTGCAATCGACTTTGTCGGAATTTCGGATGGAAAATAGTTTTAAACGCGCACTAAGAACGTAAGGTTTCTATATAAAAATACTTATACAGGTTTACCAAAAGCGGGACAGTTAGCGTGCCGCGGATACACGTCGCCGGGACGCATTATTTGAGCCCTGGAAACGGGACGTCCCGCCTCACGCGGGACGGTTGGCAACCCTAACCCCGGTGCGACGTTTCCGAAAACATCGCGTACGGTCGTGATTTTTCCGTTTTTCCGATTCCGTTCGTTTTCCCGCGGGTCCGCGTCCCGTCGCCGCGGTCGTTTCGGTCGGCGGGACGCGGCACGGGTACACGTACGTCGGCCAACGTGTCAACGGCCCTAACTAACCGCAACAGGTTTGCCCCGCGGACCACGTACCGCGATTGGTATGCCCGTACACGTCGCGGCATACGACGAACCTCTAAGCCGACGAGTACCGCTATGTTCGGCCCCGCCGCGCCCGCCGCCGTTGCCACCACCACCGGCGGCCGTTCGGCGCGCGTGCGCGCGTCGCGTCCTCTTCCGCTTCGGCCGCGGCCAAGTGGAGAGCCCGTCCCGGTCACGCGCGTCATTCCGTCGCCCGGCTCGACACGCACAGCACCGTTCGCGCTCCGCACCGATCACCGGTAAACCGTCACCGACTCCTCCGCGCGCGTCCCCGTCCCGCGACCCGACACAGGTGCCCCGCTCAGTTCGCAGTCGCCGTTCCGGTCGTATTATGTGAACAGGTCCACCCGCGGTTCGCCCACGCCCGTGTTCTCGCACTCAACCGTCCGTCCGCGCGCCGATCCCTCTCGAACGTTTCGCCCGTGCCCGACAGGGTATTTCTCCGCTCCCCAAAGCCGTTCTCGAAACCGCCCACCGACCGACCATGTCCCGGTTCCCGTCGCACGCGCTCCCGGCGCTGGCGCTGGCGGTGCTGCTGCTGGCCGGCTCCGTACGCCCGTCCTCGGTGGACGACAACACCGTGGACGACGAGCCGAACCCGTTCCTGGAGGCGGCCAAATCGCTGCTGCAGGACTCGCTGGCCGCCAACGGCCAACAAGCCGGCGGCCTGGGCGCCGTGCTCCAGACGTTCATGCAGACGGACGGCGCCAAGTCCGGGCTGGGCTCGATCGTGTCCGGACTGGCGGCCGCCAAGGGGTCCATGGACCCGCAGATGATCGGTCAGATCGTCGGCATGCTGGCCGGCGGCGCGGCCGACAAATCCTCGTCCAACGGCGACAACGGCTCCGGCGGCGTGGACTGGAGCTCCATGATCGACTTGGCTTCCGGTGAGTAGAGCTGCTGCGCACCGACGATTCGCTGTTTCGATTAGAAATAATTAAAAGCTGTCAAACGGTCGGTACTCGTAAATCAACGCACGAACCAACGGTTTATGTATGGAAATGAATATTTATTTTCCATTCGTTTCCGTAGACCTTTTGTTGTCACTCGTTCGTTGTTCGAAACAAATGTTCATGTTACAAGCACTCCCCCCCCCTCCCTACCAATAGCCTCGCACCGTACGTCGGGAATCGCCTCGCAGGCCCGACACCCGTTTCGTACAACACCGTAGTACGTGGATTCCCGTTGATCGCTTTTACGATCCTGTTCGCTAAAACAGTCGTCGTCGTTCGGGTAAAGACCGTATAGTAATCAAACGATTGTTGTTCGTTTTCCCTGAAACGTTTTCCGTTGTGTTGCTGCTGCCTCTGACCGTATCGAGAAATTAGATTTTGAATCCGTTCCTGCGCTGGACGCGCTGCAGTGTTGGTACGGGTCGTTTGAACGAAATAATGCTCGCAAAGAAAATATAGCGTTCAAGTTAATTACAAAACAATAATTAATTTACGCGATATTAATAACAATAGTCATTTACGATTAACGCTCACCAACAAAAATATGTATCGCCAACGCAGCGCAATACGACATGTATCGAAATCAAGAAAGAAATAATTAGAGAGGAACGAAAAACGTGTACTTTGTTAAACCATATAGCGCTGCTCTACGTTGATACGTAAGCGTGTTTATCGAACCACGAACGAGATATACATATTTATCCGACACCAAATGATGACCACTGATTCGTTAAGCCATGTAAGATATTGTGTATTGAAATACAACGTCAAAAAACATATATGCTTTGAACACGAGTTTTAAACGTTTTATAGATACCTAGGAGGTTCGTAGTTATAATTATTTTTTTACATTGTTTTGAATTGTTCTTAACGTTTCGTGTCTACAAACTTTTTATACTACACAGGTTCCTGCGTCACGGTTAATATATGCATGTACTAAAAAAAAAAGAACACGATGTTAAATCGATTGAATTGAAACCGTAAATACTAGATAGATTTATAGATTTTAAATAATATTGATTTAATTTCACCGGCGAAACGCTTCGACCGTTGAAAATATTTTTAATTAGTAAACAATAATTTCAATGTACGCATATTTATAATTTTTTTTTTTTTTTTATAGTAAGTTCTATAGTACGTACCGCGTAACTTATTATTTGCTCTACGAAATTATATGAACTATAACGGTACGTATAATTTTACGCCGAAAAAAAATTTAATCGTCTTGCGTTTCGTGTAATTTTTCGGTCCAACAGATGTCAACGAACCGTGGTTCGCGTTATTATTTTTCAAGACCGCAATAACATATTTTATTCAACTAGGTTACTCGTTTACTTTCCGGACGGACACTAACGTTTGACATACATCCAACGGTGATTTAGCGTTGTACCCGAAATCACGTGGACTCCATCGATTATTGTCATCGAGTCGACACCAACATATTCCTTTGACAATCAAAAAAAAAAAAAAAAAAGTACGCATAACCGCGCCGAACATCGCTGCGGTTGTAATGCGCACAAACGTTTGCAAGTTATACGTGCTCGATCCGAAACGAGATTCGTAAAAATTATCACGACCGTTTTATCGTGTCCAATTTTACCTGGAGTACGAACCGGAGTATTATGCGTACGTGTAGCGTACCAGTATGGATAAAAGCGCGTGTTTCTATCGCGACGTTGAGTTATTATTATTACCCTCAATCGTTCCATTATTATCCCATCAATTATTTCGTAAACCATACAATAACTTCCCACATTCGCACCGCCGTAATACAATTTTAATGATCTCGGCTGCGTATAACGAATGTCAGAGCGCCAATATTAAATGCAAAACAATATCGTTAAATTCATTTGACTTGAATAATGACACTGTGCAACGCGCGTTCGCGTTGTCTAAACGATGGCTGAATTTCTCATGTCCATTTTAAATTCTTCTGATGTAGTTCCATAAATCGAATAATACGTAGTCGTATTGTAATTTGTTCGGTACTTCCTAGGAAACACGTTGACGGCTATAATTTTTCGAACACTACTGATGTTTAGAAAAAAATATAAATTTAATTCTAATTATTTTTTTCTAAGTGTATATAAATACAAATACACTTATATGCACTTGTCTATGATATAATTATCGAGTGCCAAATCGAAAATAGCCAAAAGGCTCGTACTCAAATCCAAGACGCATTGTCTTCCAACGATCATCAGGGTGTTTCATTATTCTATAAAATATGTCTTCTGGTGTTTGACATACAACCTGCAGCAGCGTTTTGTTTATTCCGGATCGGTACGTGCAGTGCATTCGGTCTACGTTACGGTTGTTCGGAGCGGTTTGTATTCGCAGTACGATATCATCACATGGTTTACGTGCAGAAAATTCCGAATCGGACGAACGGTAAATCAACCGTATCGATAACCTGTTTGGAACATCTATGAAAAAAAAAAAAAAAAATAGAAAAAAAAAACTCTGTTGATTATTATTTATAACTAATATTACGCATACGTTGTTTATTCTGTTCGAACAAAAATCGGTGTACACGGGCTCTCGATTACCGACGAGAATCGCGATGCAAAACCAAACGAGTAATACGCCGGGTTATAAATCGAACACGTTAATCACGTTTTTCCCGTGCAGGTACGTGCACCACGTAACCAGAATCGCGCAGAGGCGGCTTGATCATGAATTTTGTGGTTCACTGAACTACCAAAAATGTTGGGGTGGTTGTCGTCATTTTAATAGGCGGGTACTTGGCAATATCGGCAGCGGTAGGTAATATACAATTGGTGATTCAATAGAAATTAGGTAAATTTCTGAACCTAATACGACTCTTAGGTCGGTGGGTGGGTGGTATTAACTATGCTTGAACCGGAGACGCGCGTTCCCAAGCGACGGACTACCGTGGAGCACCACTACTCGCGCGTTCGGATCAACTCTTCCGATCGTCCGTCGATTTCTTAATTCTTAATCGCCGGGAGCTTCGTGGAAGCCCCTATATAGCACCCTATATATATACACGTGTGTAATGACGTCATTTTCCGCGCAGGGTTCATGTCGTCCACCGGCGGCGCGGGCGGCCAGGGATCGTCGATCGAGGGATTCATGAACGTGCTGCCGGCGCTAGTGAACGCGTTCAGCGGCGGCCACGAGCACTCGGACGACCCGGAGGTGGAAGACACCGAGGAGCACGAGCGCCACGCCCGCGCGTCCACGTTCCTGCCGCCGTTCCTGAGCAGCGCGTACGTGTACTGGGAGCACTTCAAGAACAGCGAGCTGGGCACCACGCTGTGGCGGAACAGCGGGCTGGGCAGCATCATGCAGCTGTTCGTCGACAGGAACGGTTATTTCCAGGTGGACAAGATATTCGAGTCGATGGAGAACGCACCGTTCAGGCGCCGGTGGGTGAGGAGCCTGACCAGTTTCGTCGCCGAGTGGATCAAACACGTGTCCGACCCGAACACGCAGTCCAGGTAAACACATCCCGCGGTTCGAAATAATCCTCGGACTCGTAATTCGTAGTCTATTTTTGTTTCCTGACCTCAGATTCGATAAGTATAAGTCGTCTCGTTTTTGTACCTGAGGGACACGAATAGTATATTGTTTTTTTCCCCTTCGGGTATAGGGACTCGATTAGTATACAGCGCCAACGACAGAGGGGTTGGGCGGGAGAGGGACGGACGGATAGAACAGTCCGACGCGGGAATCGAAAGGTTTGCAGAGAGAAAAAATAAATCGCGATCGCGTGGATTACAAAATGTGCAAGATATAGGACCTATGGAGTCCGATATTAGGCGAAAAAGTCCCTCGGATAAATAGTCCCCGGATAAAAAGTTCCGGGTAAAAAAGTCCCCGGTAAGTCATACGGAAAAAATTCTACTATTGCATTTGATTAAATATTAAAAAAAAATAAACAAATGTCTTATAATAATATTATTTAAAAAATATAAGAATTTATTTATTCAGACATAAAATATCCCTTTCTTATATTCTGACCGATTAGTTTCGAACAATTAGGAATATCTGCAAATTTACATTTTAATCACAAAAAACACGCTTACAGAAAACTATCAAAAAAATAATTAAATCTATCTAAAGTGATCTATCAGTTAAAACACCTATTACGTATTACCTATTCGTAGAGAACAATATTTCAGAGTGTACATCGTATAGGGGTTTTTTCGTTATTCCAAATTAATAGTTCTCCGTGATGAATACAAAAAAAGCATGTATTTACTTTTTTAAAACCGTTGTAACTTTTGTTCTAATGAATATTTTTCAAAACGCGTATGAGATTCACTCAAAAACGTTGTTCTCCACCAATCGCGTAACAATAGGTGTTTTCGCCCTTAAATTACTTTAAAAGGCATTTTCGTTGGTTTTCCGTGAACATGTTTTTACCCGATACCATAACCGGTGTAGTAGCCTAACCTTAATGTACGGTCATCGTCGCTGTTGTGCACGGGTGTAGTGACTCCGCGAGAGCACCACGCCTCGCGTTCCGAACGCGCACAACCGGTTTGGCCGCGGAGAGTTCGTTGCCCACCGGCGAACGTTACGCGGACACAAATAAATAATAACACGATTGGAGACGCAGAGAAAAAAAAAACGCGTTTTCCGCGATTACGTTTTCAAGGCGCGTTCGCTCGTATTTTTAGTGTTATTTAGTGCTCTAACGATTATTCGTTTATTTATTTAATTCCGCCTCGTGAAATCTCCTCGCCCGACCCGGCCATTAAACCGTAGGAATTCTCGATCGCCGCGTTTAAGTCTCCGGGGATGGACGGTCCGCCGCCGCCGTCGTCGGCAATCAAAACGGTTCCGCGTCCTGTCCACGTATTTCGGTGGACCTGTCGAATCATTCGCGTATTTTTCCGCTCCCGTTCAACGTAACGATCGTACGCGAACATTTTCAAACGTTTCGCTATTTTCGAATCATATATATATATATATAGGTATCGGGTGCGCCTGATTAGAAACAGGACAACTGTCAATTGCGCCGCGGGCAAAGAGAGAAAAATTACGGGACAGGAAAAAGGTATACATCAACTACTGCGCCGACCGGTATTCGAATGTAGTATAATGTCACAGAACATAATAGGAGCGACGGCTATCTGAATTCCTTTGTTGACCGGAAAATATTTTCGTTGTCCTTGAAATCCACTGGCACGAACAAGATATCTTAAGCCGTGATCGGTGGGGTGCCGGTAAAGTTTATAGATATTATCCATATACGTTGTTCGATACGGATACAACATCACGCCGAGCCTCCGGAGTATTCGATGCTAACATCAACCGCGCCTCCAAAGAAATGTAAACAAATCGATCAGCTGATTGAGTGTCGTTTCTATTGTATTCTATTATAATATTGTGCGTCAATCGATTCCTATACATATATATATATATAAACGTGTGTAATACTTTAATCATTGATTTTAGAACTTACGGTTTAGCAGTGTTGTACATTTGATAATAAATGGGTTTACGTCGTTTTGCTCTTAGGTACGTTTGAAAAACATTATTTTTACCATAATATTAATTTATTATTTGAAGTTGGAACAAAACGTCGACAAGCATTATATATTTCTAAAACAAATTCGTATTATTGATCAGTATAAGTGTTGCACGCGTGCAGTACGTACAAATTTCGTGGCCCGTGCTTAAATTTATAATGGAACAGTTAAAAATTCTCCAGCCCAATTGTGATGTAGGTATACATTTTTAGTAGATCTTTTTTATACCAGCACAATAGTTGTATATAGTACAGGTAGTGCCCCAAAATCGGCGCAATTGATGAGCACCGCAACTGGCTACAGGCAGGCCTAGTTTGTTTTCAACTCTCCCGACACGACCTCGTCTCCGGGAAAAAAATATCATTAACACTATCTTCTTTCCCAAAACCTTGTGCGAACGGTGTCTACGTGCGCGTTTCCAAGACGGATTACGGGTGGACTCGGGTCGTATTGAACGATTGGCACATCGTCGTCGATCGTGTGATTACTGTTGACCTATGATCAGAGTTGGGCAAAAACATATCAAAATGAAGATTAAAAAATAAAAGCGTGAATTAGTTTGATTTATTTATGAATAAAGAATAATTTTTTATTCTGAATAATTGTGGTGTACTGAATGAAGAATAAAATTATTCTGAATAGTTTTATTCGTGAATAAAATAATTAGTCAGAATAAATTTATTCGTTAGAATCATGAATGATATTTTTTTTTTTTAACTTGTGTATTAATAATTTAATAATTTATTATAATTAATAATTTATTACTAATCGCAATCATATGGGCGTGAATTGTTCCCTATCAAGACCTAAATGTTGGTAACTATACAGGTTACTAGCAAAAAACTATTATAGAAATGTTATCATCAGGGCTCTGGACTTATAGCACTTTAAATCATTAAAATGAATGTTTAAAAAAGCGCTTAAAAATATCATTATAAGCACTAAAATAAATATTTAAAAAATTTTAAATTAAGCAAAAATATTCAATAAAAAAAAAGAAAAAACTATAAAATTCTAACTAAAAAATCAAACAAAATAAAAATAAATCTTTACTTTCAAGACTTTAAGGATTTTATGGATTTTCTAAGGGATTTTTCTGAAAAATTAAATGTAAACTGTTCTCTCTGTTCTTAATCATTCTGACGTTTGACACTCAGTTCTATTTTCAGCGTTGGAATATCTTTGTTAACCCTACATCGATGCCTTGGATGACGACGAACTACGTGACAACGTAGATTAAAATTAATTTTAATTATAATTCTATCAGAAACAACTTTGTAGGAGAAAACTATAAAAACGTAAAAAAAAACTGGTCAAATAAGCAAAAATAATCAGAAAAATTGGAAATAAGCATTTTTTTTGAAAAATTGATGAAAAAAGTACTTTCAAATTTCATAATTGTACGTGTTATAACTTGACATACACTTCTATAGCACTCTGCTACATTTTAAGTCAATCCATAAAAACAAGCAAATGATTTAACTCGTGAACACTGGTTATCACCTTAAGCATTTTTACATTAATATTTGTAGATATATCGGTAAATAATAATTCAAGTAATAACAATAATAATAACAATTTGTAGTAATAATTATAACAATTATCGTTATAGTAACTATAACAACCTATGTGTATCAAGAATAATAACATTTTTATATATATTATATACATTATTATTATATATCGTTATTTAGGATTTATATTTATTATTTATATGATTATAGGGAATAACGATTAACGAATAATGAATAACGAATAACTGAATAAAATATTGAATAAAATATAGTAAATAAAAATCTCCTAATAATAATACAAATTAAAATAATGAATAAAAATAAAAATCAATAATAAAATTAAGAATAATTTTGTATTCAAATAATCAATCAAATAATATTTTATTCGAATAATGCCCAACTCTGTCTATAATCGCGCGTTCACGACGTAAACACAAACTCGCGTCGTCCGGAATACTTTTTACCTAATAAAACTAGAACGTTGTCGATAATATTAATTGCGGCAAGTGTTTTAGAATACCATCGGGTAAACCCGTTCCGCTTTGCTGAACGAATGACGGTGGGAATTTACGATTTGCGTTGGAATTATTCGTCCGAACCCAAAGACCAGTTGTTTTTGCACTCGCCATTAGTCCTACGCGTTCTTTTAACCATAATGAGCGTTAACCGTTATCTGCGGTAAAAAAAAATGAATCAGTTGTTCTGATCTTAACCGATGTTACCAGATCAAGGTTAAATAGTAAACACTTGTAGAATAATAAACTCGCCCTTAAGATCTTCAGATTTTTGTCTTGGTAAACTATCAAATCAATAAAAACGTCAAAATAGATACTTACTTGCATTACGTCGATGTTTCAGTGTTAACATTTTTTTTCTGCTAGGCAATATAGGCGTGTATAAAGTCGTTGTCATCAAAACTGTTTTCTTCCACAAATCCATAATTTATTTAAATAATGCAACAAGACTTGTATTATGTGGAAACGGTCGGGACCTAATATTTTTTCCATTTTAGACAGATTTCCATTTAATACAACTCGACAGAAAAAAAGTTACAATATATATTTTTCATTTCATATTTATTCTTTATTATTTGTTAAATTGTATTAACTTTATATTATACATGTGTAGTTAAAAAAAATTATATATTTAAAAATTACAGTAAATTTATATTTACGTACTCTTTCAAAATTCTTCTAAAACTTTTAAAACTTTTCAACCAGCCATTTGATGCTTCGAATACCGTGTTAGACATTGTGCAACAATTTGACGTGCAATACACTAGTGTCATCGGCCCAGAAATTGATAAGTTTTTTGCTGTAGCACTTAAAAACCACTCTCAAGTTAAATTATTTATTTTTTCGTTTGCGTTTGATATTTCAATTATCTTTTCATCCGCCTATTTCCTAAAATATAAATTATAAGTAGATCTACAGGTATATCTTAAATATTTCAGTAATTTGTTTAGTTAATTTTACCATTCATCCATTTTTCTTTTGTTTATTATTATTTTTTTTTTTACTTTAGTATATAATTAGTTCACAAATTGGTTTTACTGATGATTAATCTTTTTCACTAGATCCAATTAATTTTAACACTTCATTTAATGTCAAACATTTATTGATTTTCGACATACTAAGTTATTTAATAAAAAATAATTATTTGTAATTACAAAAATTTTATGCAGTCCGAGGCGTTGTGAGTACAAAACATTACTATACTTTATAGTACAAACGAAAAAATAAATGTAATGCGTTGAAATAATCCTAACCAATATAGATTATATTTGATAATTTTTAAATAGGTATTTCCATGATAAACAGGTACATGACAAAAATATTGTTTTCATATCCACGTTAGACAAGTTTCATCTTACTCAGGACATGATGTTTTTAAAAATATATTAGAGTTGCCGAGACCAAACAATTTTTCTATAGAATACAGGTTTTCATATTATTCAGGTTTTACTGTATAATATTTTCCTAAAAAAACCCGATGATAAATCAATGTTAATTAGTGGTGGGTTTATTCGGATTTCATGGATTATCCGAATTATTCAATTCAATTTTGGTGTTCAATGACTCATTTTTTCTTACTCACATAAATGTAATTAAGGTTATGCAGTAAAAATAAGATAATTAGATGTCCAGTCATGATACCGCTGCAAGTGATAGAGGTATAAACTAAAAACATTGCATTAGGTATTTCTTTTGGTAATTGATAATAAATTATTAAAACTGTAAAAGTCATGATAAGTATACTGTAATTTATGAAACATAATTTTCCATTGTTGTGAAATTTTAATTATAATAAAATAAAACAATTTATTTCATTAAAAATGATTAAGTCACATGAAAAGTAAAAATCCATGAATCCGGATAATCATAACAACGTAATTTTCAACTATTACGATTCCCAATAAACACATTTTCAAACTAGAATTTAAAAAATCACTTTGTGAATATTAATACACACCTTACACGCATCTCTAGATTTTCCCGTAATACTATAGTACATTTTATTTATGACTCAGGCAATGTCTTATAGCTATACAAATATGTTTATATTTTAATGGTTTGCGAAACCGGAAAGGTTTTAAAAATCAACTACGGACATTAGTAACTGGTTCATTCGAATTTATGAACGTCAAAATCGAAACGCTGAACGGGAATTTAAAATAATACGAGATCTACGGATTTTATTTCAACGTATTTCAGTGATCTAACCTTATCGCCCTGATCGATCCTTCTCGTGCTGAGAAAACTGCCTTCCTAACCTCTGGGTAATTATAAGGTTTCGGTGCCGTCTTCGATCCGGGAGAATCTTTGCACGCAAACAAAGTTCTTTGCTCGGGTGCTGATACGGTTGACAATATTTATTATCCTCCGAAACGAAAAAAAAAAAAAAAAAAAAGAAAAAAAAAAGAGACACACGAATTTAAACTTTCCGATTTTCCGACAAACAATCGAACGGATCGACACGGGTGGACGACCGGTCGATCATTTCGTACGGCGCACACGCTTTACCGCGTGCCATTGCCCACGCGCGCCTCCGTTCGCGCAGGCGCATCGATGTCGCCCGCGCTTTTTTCCGATGCGACAGAAACGAACTCGATAGCCGCTCGGATTGAGTTACCGGGTTTCGAAATCGACACGTAAATAACCCCCCCCCCCTCAGGTGCGTTTAAGGTTTTTTCGTGTCGAACGTCTCTCTAACGAACCGTTAGACTACTGCGGACCGCCGCTAAAACGCGTGTGAGATAAACCGTCGAGGGGTCCCGTTTAAAATTGTTTTTAAATACTCGGCTTGCCACCCTCCCCTACCCTTACCAAGGGTCCTAACGTTTTCATTTTTCCGCACTCCGCACGTCTTGTTCTTTGGCTCGTACGCGGAGGTCTCTTTGCACCGGTGATCGTTTTCGATCAGGCACAAGCCGAGTTTTTTATAACGTGTCTTTGTGATTCCAATAATAATGCACCTTACGCGTATTTTGTCTCCGAGCACCTTCGCTCGGTTTGATCGATCTGTTTTGTTAATTTTAACACGTCGAAGAAAAAGAAAATTAACATTCCAATCGGTGAAACGCTTCTATGTGTTGTGTCTGCCAACAACGTTCCGACAGAAATCGCTACCCCCTTTCAAATTTCGCAGTACTTGTACTGCGCACGATTTTCAGCCCTGTCCTACGCGCCCTCGCAAGACACACGTCGCTCGTGATTTTCGGTTTCGATCTCAACGCGTCTACCAACCGGACGTGATCCATCGTTATACGTCGTGAGCACCTAGTCATTGCCGAAATACCATCACGCATTTCGACGTGCGTGTTCAGGCGATTATCGTTCCCCAGCTCTCGAGACGGTTTGCTTTTAAAACGCTATCGGTTTTTTGAAGTCGTACACACGGTATGCATAGGATCGCGGGCGCGTCGCCGGACACGGGGTTGTTTGCTATTTCTTTCGACCGGCGTCAGTCCCGATCTATTCGATAAACGAACAATGCCGTGCATTAGAAACGGATCGGATGTATCACAACAACCCGGTTACGGTCGCCGAAAACGAGACGCTAATAGCACCGCATTTTTCAGATACTTGTCGACGACGCAGTTTATCATGAACGGGTTCTTGAAATCCCAAGGTTACTCCAAAGCGGCCCAGTTCGACCCGGCCAGACCCTCGGAATCGTTGAGTTTCCTGTTCGACGCGGTGGCCAAGAGACAGTTCGGACTGAAGATCAATTCCGCCACGTACATCAAACCCGCGATCGCATACCTACAGGTGAGTAACGCGATGTGTATTGAGGCGTGTTGTACACATATATATATACATCAGTGGCGGATCCACGAGGAGAGGGGTTGGGGGGTTAACCCCCCATCACGGAAAATATATATTAAAAATCAATAATTCTTATGAAATAAGAAAAATATTTTTATTTTTTTTTTAAGTATGAGGAAAAGTATATAATTTGTAATTTTATTCATACAAGAAATTAGAAGTCTTAGATTTAAATTGATGTTTAATAATTACTTACTAATACCTTGATTCATTATCAATCACTGACTGCAATGTTATAAAAAATATCCTAAGGGAAAACATTTTTCAAACCCTCCCCACCTCCAAAGAAAATCCTGGATCCGTCACTGATATACGTATATTTTACACGGGTATAATTGAATATTTTTGACGCGTGCCGGTTCGTTTTTCCAGGAAGTTTTCCGATTGGGCCAAAGCAAAGGACTGAGCTTGCAACATTTAACGTCCAAGGAAATCGAAGAGAAACTATCGGAACTGCTGAACCACGAGATCATCGACCCCGTGCTTAGGGTGTGGAGAGTGTACAAGTTCGTTTTGAAAAAACCGGAATGCGATCGTTACCTGGTGTGCAGTATCAACCGCAAAGGCCAATATCCGGATAGCAAAACCGGACTCAAGCCAGGCGTTACCAAACTGTCCAGGTACGTGAATCGAAGTGTCGTCGAACCGAGCCTATTTCGATAACAGTAATCGATTATTATTGGACAGTCGGACTTTTTAATGCGCTGCAACCACGAACTAAGATGGTAGAGGACTAGAGACGAATGTCCTTAACGTTGACCCTAAATCGAATAGAGTTGGTAATTACGGGGGAGGGGGGGATCATTCCTTTTATCGGATGTAACTCCATCTGTTGATAAATATGAAATATTCAATTATTTATTATCTCGGTTAACTTTTAAATCACTTTATACTTGAGTATTTTTAATTGTACAAGAAATAATACATTTCAACACGTTATACATGCATTTTTACTACCTACCTTTATTAAACAAATTATCTGCTATAAATGCTATTAAATGGCGTTCGGAACAGTTATTATACAAATACACAATAAAATCAATGGTAAAATATAATTTGTCTTATGTTACTATGTAAATAAGTACTCATATCGTTATTGATTTTGACGATTTCTTTTTATTGACGCTTTTTCGTTTCATATTTCTATTGTGTAACAAAGTTTCATTCTCATTATGATACAATACTGAAATATATTTGTCATAAAATAGAGAGTATTTTTTTCTGTATATGAAACACAATTTTTTATTGATCATTTTAATTTAATAATTTTTAATATATTTCAACTCAGTATTTTATGGTGTCATAAATAAATGTGCGTACCTAATAAAATAATTAATAAACTACGATAGTCATTGGTCTTGAACTACGATTAAAATGTAGTAATTGATCACCAATAATCAGTACAGTATTGTATTGTATATTATTTGTATACCACGGAAAGCGGAAAAATGTCAAAGTTGTCCTTATGATAAGCCAGGTGGCGTTAGTTCTGCCAAAAGGAATAACCCCCTCCCTTCGTTCCCAGCACAATCTGTATATACTTTCGTGGCAATTCCCCTCACACCCTCCAAACCTTTTCGTGTCTAGCCCTCTATTATCCGAGTCCGTGATTAGAACAATAGCAACACCAAATAATCTGAAAAAATGTGAAAACACGTTAACGATGATTTGTACATTTAGCTCTTAAAATGTATAACTTCTCGTTGTTGTACGAATACATTTTTTCGATTACGTATGAAACCCACGTGTTTATCGACGCGTACAAAACCCAACTCTGGCGTGTGTTCGAATCGTTCCAAAACTATATTTGTTTGTGAAAAAATCGTTCTCCGGTAGCAACGTAAAAACGATTATCGGTAATCGAAAGGTTTTATTTCGATAATGTTCTAAGGATGGTTGTTGTATCGAAAACGATGTTTGGTGAAAAAACGATCTGTTATTCTAAATTTTTTTATGCGAAAACATGCTGAAAGGTGAATAACTGAACGAGTAAAACTGAAAAAATACGAATCTTTCCAAAAGTACATGCATGCACTGTCAAATTTGAAGTACAGCTGATTTCTTTTCGTTTTACAGTCTGATCGCTTCTTGGTTCCTGTCCGGCCGGACCTACACGCCATACTGGAAGCTTTACAACGCGGCCACCGAAGACCACAACTGTTCGGTAAGTCCGATTTTTCATGGTGCATTCGAGTGACACCGGACTTTTACCGATAAACTATTGTTGACGCGTCGCGTTCGTTGTGTGTTTAGACCAAATATCCAGCGTCCTGCCAGGAGTTCCACGAAGAAGATCTAAGAGCTACCACCGAATATTTCCATAACGAACTTTAACGCGTTGCAAGACGGTCGTACATCACTGCGGATACAACTTTAAAGGCTGTCTCATTGATTCCGATTTCCGAACAATTTTAATTACATGTATCTTAACTCCGAACGGGGTGCACATTAGGTCACTCGGGTACTTAAGCTTAGTTTAAGCCACCGTTGATACATTACCTTTATTTTGTTTATCATTTCGCTATGTATACAAAATCATACATACATATATAGTATATATATTAAAATATGTTAACTATATTATATTTAATATAAAATTACTATCCGTTATAATTTAATTTTAATTTTGCACGGCAACCGCATTTTATACGAATAGTCTTGCTCGACAATTATCATCATCATTTAAAATCCTATGAACAAATGGACCGCGGAAAGGCTCGCAGAATACCGTAAAATAATTTCATATCACGGACACGCACTATTTACTGCATGAATATTTATACCTATATCGAACACACGTAGAACATCTGCAATGCACTCGTGCGTTTTATTCGATACCAGTCCGATGATTGTTCGCAAAATTTCAAAAATCGAGCAACAACATCTATTTGTACAACATACCCGGGACGATTTTTAACATTTGATTTAACGTTTCAAACAAGATCGTCGATCATAGTTCGTAAATCTTGTTACGGTCCGAACACAATCATATATTTTTTAGATGAAACTTCAAGCGCTTGTCGTTGGAAGGACTACAACTTGCAGCAAAATGTTTAAAAGAAAAATTATATTTATATATTTTACGCGCGTGACTAATCGTTTTGAATTCGATAACTCGGATAAGTATCGATTGGTAGGTCGTACGTTTAAAATCCCAACGTACGTCTTCGTGAAACATCAGAATAAACACAATATTCTCGTTGATAATCGACATTGTTTTGATGTTTCACGTGGCCCGACGGTTAACTTCGAAAATGTTAACGAACGCATTTATATTTTCATTATAAAACACCCATCTCGTTAGTAACGTATAAATATTATATTAGGTTACAGGTAGTACATTTGAAATTTTAGTATAAGTAACATGTATAGTAACACTGTTATAAACAAAATCATCCACTTAAACATTAGTATACAATTATCTATATTATAATATGGTACATGTTTAAGAAACATTTCGGTTGTAAAATATAAAATATCGTACTCATTTTTACAATAGGTATTAGGTACCAACGTGTAAGAAACTAGAGATCGCCCGGACCGGTGCGAAAACAATCGTCTGATATGATATTACTTCTTTTTTACATTTTGACTGATCCATTCCAATCCTTCCTGAAAATAAAAAAAAAACATTTTTATGTGAATCACACTATATTAATTATAAACTATATAACTATTGTTTAAGTAAGATTTCTGAATTGTAAGTAAATTAAACTTAGGATATTATTATTATCTTTTTTTTTTTTTTTTTTTTTTTTTTATAATATTTATCTACTTATTATTACTTTTTATTTATTAGTGTAATAATTATATATGGTTGTAACGCTGCACAATATATTGTGTGCGATAAACGTAACTACGCGTAAAATACGGAATATACAAGTTTACCGAAAGGAATTTTTGTGTTTTGAATTGTTAATCGTTTATGGAATCACAACATTTTACTAACAGTATCTCGTGCACGGATGGATTACAGCCCTCTCACCGACGATGTTCTAGAAAATCATTCTGCAGATGTTTCGTCCGTCATTTGTTTGTCGAACGATCTCTCTGATAACGATCGAAATAATTCAAACAAATGACGAGCAAAGTATCAGGAAAACAATTTTCCAAACCACCGTCGGATGCGCCGGGGTAACGTGCAGGACCCGATTAAGAGTTTATCGGGCCTGGAGCCTGGTAGTCCGAAGGGCCCATAATCCTTATAATATATATTACCGATAACTGTATTATGTTTAACGATTTTTCATATCTGTCAATATTCGTTACACGCAAGTATACGATATTATACTTCAAACGCAAAAATATAATTATAATATTTTAAAACTAACTTTACTCTCTTATTTTCTCTTCTCTTCTCGGAACCCCACAAAAATAACATCCGCATTCATTTCTTTTAGTAGAGATCTCGATTACAGATGCAAACAATACAGTTGCGAAAATTAAAAAAAATGTATAACCAAAATAAAATGGAAACCTAAAAACTGGGTTCATGATTGAAGGCGCCTTCGGGACGTTAAATATTTTAGGGCCTGGATCCCGGGCTCCTAGGCTCCGTGCTTATTCCGGCCCCGGTAACGCGTACGTGGTTTTCGTTGGATCGGGGGTAGGAGGGGGGTGAGGAGAACACCGGTTGACCTTCCTTGATGCCCTCGCCGCGTATGCCCGAACACGCCTGTATCTGCCACGGCCGGTCGCGGATCAGATGCAAGTTGAGCTCTTGCGCGATCTCCGACGCCTTGGCCGCGAGCGCCAAGTCCTGTTTGTTGGCGTACACCAGCACGGGCACGCCGGCCAGTTTGTCGTCGCTGAGCAGCTCGTTCAGTTCGAATCCCGTTTCGTCCACTCGTTTCCGGTCCGCGCTGTCCACCACGTAAATCTGACGACCGTTGTAACGACATTATATAGTAACAATAACGCGATGTTTGTTTATTCGAATGACGATCGCGCGACGAGACGACGCACAGTGGTCCAAAAATTAAAATAGTTGGCCAAAAATTAAATTTTTTCAAAACTAGTTAATAAACATATACCGTAAAAATTAATTAAACAATATTTTCATGCTTGATCTATTTTTTTTTTTTTTTAATCATTAAACAATACAAAAGTATGCAATATAATTCTGTTTTATGGGGGATAAAATATTTTTAATGGTAATCATAATATAACACAACATTATTCCTTTTTAAATATTTGTTATTACAATATATTTAAAAATAGTTAATTTATGTAAATTATATTGTTCCGAACACTACAGAATCCTACAAATTCTACACTACTACCATTTGTGTCGTTTTAGGAATGAAAGCCATATTTTTAAATTTTTTTTACTTTACAAAATAAAATTTGTTCACAATAAAATGGTTGACTCGCCAAAACTCAACTGCTTAATACGAGTTGCACAAAAATGCGCAGCTAAATATTACACACTTGTTCGATAGATAATAGTTTATTAGATCATACCAATATATCTGTGAAGCTCGGCGAAAAACATTATTAATTTTATTACTTTAAAAACGTATGGATTTATTTTTTCTAATATTTCGAAACGTATACATTTCCACTACTATTACGGGTCGATAATAATCGTTATATGATAATTTGGGTCGTTAAACAATATCAGTAATTCATATTATATATATATCAAACGAAAATATTTTGGTTGACTCTTATTTTATTTGGTGGGAAAAATTTAATTAAGAAATTATTACTAACCAAAAATTGCAGTATTTGTAAAAAAAAAACATTTTATCTATTTAAATGTTTAATTTTTCCATGAATATAAATACATTTTGCCATTATTGTTGTACAGTTGTGTGCTTAAAGCTCTGTAGAAAATATGTACGAAAGAAAAATTTTAATTTTTTGAAATTCAAAACACTAATTTTTGGTCAACTATTTTCATTTTCGGATCACTTTGCGACGACACGAAACATGGGGACGGATCGATTCCAGCGGGGCATTGGAAATTTAGCCGTCATGTGCCAATTTATAAAAATACCACCCTAACACAGCTATTTTTTGTTCGTGTACGAATAATTTAGAGATTTCACAACATTTATATAAATATTCAGGTCTCACGAACAATAATAATAATAATAATAATAATAATTGGCAAAAACAATATGTACCGTGTGAATATTATTTCAGTTATATGTTCATCATTATGTTAAAAATATAAATTAAGGTTACTAAGAGTATATTTATTTTAATTACATAGTATAATTTTTATTAGTATTATAAAAATAGTGATTCCAACTACTATTGAAACACATTTCTTGCCTTGACATGTGCGAAATCTTTGATATTTTCTGTTTGTCTGTTTATAATGTAGTGAAAATTTTCTAGCGATCCACTTTTCGACCTACTGACGCCTCATTTTCCTATTTGTGATAAAATGGTAACAGATCGTCGACCCGGCATCGCTTATTTAATTTTTTTTTCGTCGAAGGAAAATCATTATGATTATAAATTACTATTTTAATTATGATTATATCAATTGTACAATTAAAACGTACGAGAATAAAATATATTAACACAAATCGATAACATAACAAAAATAACTGATGGACCAGAAGCAACCCGTCGTGAAAACCCGTAGATCTTTCAGAAAGATTCGAAATACCAGAGGACTTGGTCCTCAGCACAAAAATCAACGCGGATTTTTCCCGCTAACCGTAACGGACCCAGTCAACATTTAAGATCTAAGATTCGGTCCGCGAAAAGTAGCGAACTTTTGCACTCGAGTCGGTGAACACAACCGAGGACCTAGTCAAACAGACTGAATCCGTCGAGGGCCTGAGGACCTACTCCGTCGGGCCAAGTCGTCATAAGACCCTCTCTGTGTACGGGCACCTGGTGTACGCGTTTGTTACCGATCGCGCTTACCAGTATGTCGGTGAACTCGAAATAGTTGCGCCAATAGGGTCTTATCTTGCGCTGGCCGCCGATGTCCCACACGTTCAGCTTCATGCCGTCCGCCTGCACGGACTTGATGTTGAACCCCTGCGTGGGCGTGATGTGCGACACGTCTTCGGACGCCAGTTTCTTCATCAGCGTCGTCTTGCCCGCGTTGTCCAGCCCCAGCAGCAGGATGCGAAGCTCTTTGTCCGGCGACGAACGCAAACGTTTCAGCATCGACAACAGTCCCTGTGTACACGCGCACAACCGTAACGTCATGGTCCCGGTGTAAACAAAATCGACGCCCCTCAACCCCGAAACCGCGCGCTTCACCGACTGCGACCGAACTGCGATTCTAATCTCGGTTGTACGGGCCGCGAAAGAAACGCTGCTGTACGGACAACGTGCGCCGAAACGAAATCGACCGGGTACAATTCAGTTTCCATTTAACACCGGCAGTGGCGCCGAACACTTAATCCATATGGGTTCAACCGAACCGACTGGGGAATCGGAAAATTAAAAAAAATGAAATAAAAAAAAAAACGATCGTTGACAAAATCGATTTCGCACGCTGTTCGGCAAACGTTTTCCATTTGAATTGGTATACTCGTTGTTCCGAGACGCTTGAAACAAAAAGGTTCGGGTGATCGGAAAAGGGCGATTGAGTCGGTCGGATCGTCTGGAACGGGCAGTTTCGATTTCGTTAGCGTACGTCTTAAGCGCTTGCGCGAGGATTGTCACGAGGCAAACGGTACGCATGAACACGTGTATTTCGTGACTGTGACACACCGTCGTCGAGTACTACGTACACGCGCACGAAAGGGCCGGTGCGACCATGGTCGTCCCAAGGTTTTTCGGGGCCATATTAATCTTGGGGCCCTTCGACCATAATAATAAGATATGATAGACAAAATACTCACCGAGAATAACGAAATTCTTGCAAACATATTTTTCCAAACCTTAACCGATCAAGCTCGTTTAAATTCGTGTACTGCATTACATACTTACATAATAGAATTGAATATTATTCCTATTATTTATAATTAAATCGCTTAATGTAATCGAACAAGTTGCTACACGCAGCGTATACAATTGTTCGGTTTAATCGAGGCTTCATTATTAATTATTATACAACAAGACTTTATGGAGAACTCCTAAAATATATTTCAACAATGGGGCCTGGGGCAAAATGGTCCCGTTGCCCCGCTCCCTCTTAACGGCCCTGGATACGACGGGCCCCCCGCGGAAGTGGTGCTCGACGTTGGAAAACCAAATCGTCGCTGACGGACCGAACGCTATGATTCAGAAAAGATTATTAACGATAATGTTATGTTTTTTCCAATCACAGTCACGAAACAATAGTTCTGTACTGCGACAACGGGGGCGTGCCTGGAAGAATGGGGTCGTCCACGACCCCACCGAAATCTTAACGGATTCAGAAATAAACTATCGCTTGATGTTTTTGTACAATTTATGTTTAAAAACTTAACATTTTTTCGATCTGTCTAGTGCTATAAAATAAATCATTACCAAAAATGTTATCTCGCGAAGTAAATACATTTGAACAGGCACGGGTCTAGAAATGAAAAAAAAAAAGGGGGGGCTAATAAAGTGAGTTATCGCCGTAATGACGTTGTGCATGTCGATCTGTACGGTCTTTTTTACGTCTGATATTTTAAATAATTGTAGTACCTGTGTCCGATAGGGTACTGACTAATGTCTAAGGAAGGGGCTTCGACCCCCATAGTCTTCCCTTATATCTGCGCTTGCATTTGAAATACGTGGTACCACAAAAATATTGAACCCCCCCCCCCCTCATGAAAAAAGTTTCCAGGCACACTCCTGCACACGACGGTCGGACCCTACGGTTAACGTTGACGTCATTCGTTCGCGACGGCGTGCACGAACGCGATACGTCATTATTGTTTGTCGAGCGGAGAAAAAAAAGCGCAAGATACAGGATACCATTCGGCAACGGTTAAAGCGCACTGGTTTGGTACGCGATGTACTACGCGAAGCTCGACGTAAGTATAACACTTACCATTTTGTCCGTAGCCGGATTCGACGACGATCGCTTCACACTATGATCGGTTTCGCGAATGAACGCATCGTTTTCGGAACGAAAAAGAGATCAAAAAAAAAAAAAAAAAATCCAACGTCTTGCACAGTACACAGGGTTCGAGGACAATGTAATTTCCTATCGATCGCGTTTGACGGCAATTGGATACGTGTTTGTGTACGGACCGAAACCGTGTTGCTATGGAAATCGTTGTGCCGCGTTCGAACTACAAACACTCTGTTGTACGAACGTATCCTACTGACGCGTGACGAGCTCCGTATCGCTGACATGTCGCAACGAGTAGCAAGCGTTCGGGCAGTGATCGAAGGATGTGCCGAACGGGGAGTGCAGGTCTCCGAAGAACTGGCATCCGTGTTCGTAAGTGCGCTCTCCGTATTGATCTCCAGACGCATTCCGTAGGATTTCCCAGCGACTCGATCTAGCGAAACCGCGTTCCGGGGCAACGGGACGGGGTATCAGGGCGCTGGTACAATCCCTCGTCGTGGGGGATAGGGACGGCGGCATCCGTCAATGCGTGCGGCGGTGGACGTGAAATTTCGGTCGTTCCCCGACGCGCCGCAGGGACCGCCGGCCGTCAAAATCTACTCCGGACCCGTCGGCGAGTCCACGCGCGTCGGGTGTCAGCGTCCCTCGTACTCGGGGTCGGGTCTCACGTCAGTCCCGGCCGACTCTCCTAGTCCCGTGGCCAAATCCGGTACGTAGGGAAACCCGAGCACCGGCGATGGCGGATCCTGCGTTATCACGTTTCGGTAGCCACTTATAGGCATATCCTACCGATGACGCTTATCGCGAACGGTACGTCGGGAAGCACGGTCAGCCCGGCGTCCTTCGGATTTTGTTCACTAACGGTACAGGAGTCGGCGGCGGCCTGACGCTGGTGGCCCGACGACGGCGACCCGGTGGGATTCAACAAAATAAATCTATTCTAATCTATCCTTATCTAATCGATTATAACGTACAAATAATTGAATAAATGTAACATCCACTACGTCTACCTTAACCCGTCACCACGTGCGTGGATTTATTCGTAGGAATCACGAGCGTAGGGTATTCTCTTACCCCAACGTAATTGTTATGTGTTTTATACTTAATGATCGAACAATAATTTTTTAAACAATATATATATATATATGTTTTGTTTTACTAATTTCTTATGCATAATCCCAAGAAAGAAATCAAATTTTTTTTTTTTTATTGATGAAGCCACAACTACAATGGTTATTGGCTTTTTAATCTAAAGTTATGTTTACATGATGAAGGGAGATACAACTGAATACATAAAGAGTTATATTAAATTAAATTGTACATTTTTGTTAATTTTAAAAATTTAAAAATTTTGTAAACATTTTCTGGGTCTGGACTTAGTGCTTGCTGGAGGTTGTCGGATATTTCTAGACTGTCCTTGATGGCTCTGTATTTTAATCAAATTTTTATGTAGGTACATACGAAAACTAAGGAAAATTTAATTTCTATTTTTTCTATTATGAAATATCATTTGTTTTTTTATCAAATGTTTTTGAATAAATAACATTTAATTTGAGCGAAACCGGTTAAAACACGGGCCCCACCCTTCACTCTTAAGTTGTAGGGCTCCGATTACAACATTTCGGGTGTAGCCCGGCAAGCCCGGATTAACACTATCGTAGGCTCTAGGCCCCTAGTCCTTGCAGGGCCGTTGTCCAGTATTTAAATGGTTAAGAAACCTTCTCTTTGGGAGAGGAAGTGTTGGATCTCATGCAGTGTTAAACATTTAAAAGCAATAATATTTACAACATAAAAATCAAATCTAAACTCTTATATGACAACTATTATACGATAAGAAATTCATTTTAATCCAAAGCATATGTAATATAAATTGTCAAACACCATGAAAAAAAAAAAAAAATTGTTTATACCAATTCGCATAATATAAATCGTAGCTATACATTTTCTTAGGCTCAAAAACGTCCGTAGGCACAGTGCCTATAGTGCCTGCGCGGTAATACGGCCCTATCGCCCGGGCACACGTTTGTGATTAAAACTGTACATAATCTTTAATCGATTTGCCTAACAGTATAACTGCTGCACCTTAAAGCCTCGCGCAGACACGGGTTCAGCGAGAAAAACGTCGGAAATGACTATTACGGCAGACGCAATCAAACGGTGCATTGATCGTTTATGTGTCCGCGACGACCCGGCCATCGCTTGCGTGAAAATGCAATTGCTCTTGGAACACGATTACAGAAACAGAGGTACTCACACGTAACGGTCGAATGTTTTATTATTTTTAAACTGTCCACTTTGTGTTTAATTTTTTTTTTTTTTGTTTCGCTTCAGAATTCGTCATCAACAGCGTGAACGAAGACTTTGATCGCAGGACCGAACCGATATTAAACGAAATCTTGGAAAACCTCAGAACGCTGCAGTGCGACGAAAACAACGTGTATTACACGAGACTGGTACAATACGTGATTTTGGTCAACTACATCGGAGATCCGACCGCGCCCGAATGCCTGCAGAAAACTTCCGGTAAACGTGAACCGCTAACGCAGAAGTTCCCGACCAGGGTGTCGCGGCACCCCAGGGTACCGCGAGATTAAATTCAGGGTGCCGCAAAAATATTTGAAATATATGTTTATTTTTAAACGCCTCCGTGACAAACACTACGAGTAACAATAAAACAGACTGTACCCCATGTCTATAGTATAAAACCTGTTGTGAATAATTAATTAGGTCTATACAATATGGTTTAATGAATTAATTACGAACACATATAATTTTTACCGTAGTAACACTGAGATGTTCAATCCATTTTTATTTTCGTACGGGCTCGATTGCTATCGATTTGATGTGAACCGTTTTAACGTTATTTACGGTGAAATACTACTTGTGACTTCATCTTATCTTCATTGTTTATTATTGCTGAATAAAACCGAAGTTACAAACAGTGCCGGATTATGGTTTTTAGGGCCGTAAGCACATTCATATAAATGGCCTACATATAATTTTCATACACTTAAAAAAATTCATTTTATTTTCAATTATTTATTAGGTATCACAAATAAAATTAAGATAATTATAATTTACATTTGAATCTACATTTAAAGTTTTGAATTCTTATATTAATTTTTTTTATTATTACATTATTTAATTATTAATTACTATACATATATATATATATATTAAATATCATCATGATTATAATTTTGTTTATTCGATATTATTTTTAGGAAAAACCTGAGTCGCGATAGTATTAAACTAATAAACTTCTGAGTGCCGATCACATCGTAAAGTTAAATTAATATGATAAAATATTTTTGGAACATCAGTTGGAATAACGAAACGATTGATAAAAATCACGGTTACAAGTTTACAACAAATTTGATAACAATAATATTAAATTATTTACGATATAAATTCGTAACTACTCACGAGAAAAAAATTCTCAAACGTTATTTTTATACGTATAAATTTGATTTTAAAAATGATGGGCCGAATTTTTTTCGGGCCGTAAGCTTACTTCTTTGCCTACGCTTTGATCCGGCCCCGGTTACAGAATATAAATTTAAATATACGGTGCATTGGCATTGCGTATGCAGCGCACAAATCATGGAGTACGGGGCATAGGCCATACAGGGCGCCTCCGGATTCTTAGAAAACAATAAAGGGTGTCGCGAGTCGGAAAAGGTCGGGAACCCCGTGCGCCAACGTAACGGTTTACGGATCTCGGCCGCAGAGTTTTCTAACGTCGAAAACCGTTTGGCGTGTTTCAATAACCCCCCCCCCCCCCCCCCCCCCCCTCACCCCCCGTTAACACGTTGCAAAAACTAAAACGGTACGCGTTCGTGTTTTTTGCGTTCACTCGACGTCGCCAGGCGTCTTGAACGGTGTCGTCGACCGGTACGGGCCGCCGGGCTTCGGAGAAGACGACCGATCGCCGCGTTCGAGGACGGAACGGCTGAAGGAGATCGCGAGTTTGGCGTGCGCGGTAACGCTGCACGGTGCCGACCGGAGCGATTGCCGAGAAGGAATATTTGACCGTGAGACCTTTTTACGTTTAGCGGTCGACGCGAACACCGAACACCGATTGACCGTTGTGCGATTTTCAGTGGTGGACAACCTGCCGGACGCTGCCGACGCGCTCGTGCGAGAGATCGACCTGGAGTCGGACGACAGCCGGAAAACAGCGACGGCGTTAGCGTCGCGGATACGTCGGTTTTACAAGGTGGACGAGGATTTCTCGGGCCCGTTGTTCGCGGTGCGCGTACGTCTGGCGGACATGGGGACCGACGAGCTGAACGGGTTGAAAGCGGTTTTAGCGTTCCATCTGCAGCGCGTAAAAAATTTAGAGTACGTCGACCGGCGATCGTCACTATCGTCCTGACCCGACGAGACGCCGTGTTCCGGTAGCCGTTCGCGAAACGTGCGCCGCCGCGCACGAGACGTCCGCGAAGTCGCCCCCCGCCCCCTCCCGCTTTGTTCCGTCCAGTTCAAACCTTCGCCGACGTTTCGGAACCGTTCGGAACGAACCTTTCGGGATCCGGAACTTTAATCCGACCCTTTTTCCGTGAAAAAACATCTTCTTTACGTCCGAGTACACGTTTTACGTATTCAAATGCCGGTAAAAATGTAAAATACATTTTTATTCGATTACCCCGAATCCGCGATCGTTTTGTTTAATGTTCAATATTCACAGTCGGGGGCGGAGGTGACTCCGATTCGGAAACATATCTACTCGGATGTATATTTCAATTTAGAAACTAATCGGTTTCTATCAATCCATTTTTTTTTTTTTAAAAAAATTACAAAAGTCAAAAATAAAATTTAAGTCGTACACGTATGTTAAGTGCACGATAAATGAACTTGGGGGTACACGGCATGTAATTTGAACATTCCGATTTATATTTGTTTTTTTAGCATGCGATTCGGATGCACCGAAGAAATTCGTTCTGAAAGAGAGATAGGAAAATAATTTGTTTTTTCGCTAACTAATTTAAAGTGACTTATTTATTATCTAGAGTCTAAATTTTAGACTGATATATCTACAGTATTTTTACGACGAGTGGTTAATAGATTAAGATTAAGCTTGTCCCCAACCGAAAATATCTTATTCCGGGGAAAGGGTGAAGTTCCAAATTCTGAAAACTTGGTTCCAAATTGGTACCGAAATATTGGTGAAGGTTTGAAGTCGATAGGACAAAGTGGGGGGGGGGAGCTGCGAGAAGTTTTTCCCTCCAACCGAAAAACACTACGTAGTCCAATGGTTGTAAAGTTCCTCTAAAAAAGGAACTAGTTCCTTATTCCTCGTTCTCGGACGATTTTCGTTTTTAAATTAATGTGTTTTTTTTTTTTTTTAGAACGATGAAAAAAGACATATGTGAGTACAAAGACGACTTGCTAACAACGTTTCACAATTATAATTTAACGTTGACAAGAATAAGGAATAATTTTCAAACCATCGACGACATTGATGATATTATTTATGTAAGTATCTACATACGTAATCGTTCGAGTGATACAACAGCACCACTTCATCGTCATCACAAAATAAGTATGCCAGTTGTAAATTTAAAACGTTTATGTTCAGCCACAACTCATCGATCTGTCAACTACTTGGAGCGAAATAATAGACATCACGAACTATTTGAGCACTACGGCCAGTTTTGTATCGACTATGAAGCAAATGAAAAATGAAGTACCGAGTACAAAACTGATGTTTTGAAAATTTAACTCAACCACAAAATTTTTTCAAGGTCATCAATGTAGAGCGCATTAGGATTTTGCCAGCACCAGATATGATTCCAAACATTAATGCGAACGAACAGCGGAAAATTATTAAAACACATTCCTTACACCCTACGTGTAAACTGTATCCATCATCGTGCAACGCGATTGATAGAAGAAACTTATTCGTACAACGTATACTTGTAATCATGTCCGTGTATAGAACTAACAAAAATTATTTTCAGGCCGATGGATATTGTGTGGTTATGTTTGTTGAAACCGGAGGTACATTAATAAAGCATGATAAAAATGTATGTATAATAAAATGCTCCGACAAGTGGTTCAGCTTTTCGTGTATTCAAGCGGCACTCACTTTTGGCGCTAACCCTTCATAGTAAGTACTTCTGTTGGACGGTATTCGTCAATTGCGCCGAACTCGGGACACTACCTGTATAGTACACATCTGTTGCGCCGGTATAAAATGGCTATATTAAAAATGGTATACGTCTATTGGGCCGGCATGAAAAGGGTATGTTTAAAAGGTATACATCTATCGCGCCGGTACAAGTAAAAACCGTAATGGTTAAAAAACGAAAATTAAAATTAAAACCAAACTTACCGTTCTACATGCTTGGTATTCACACTAATAGTGTATTATACACTGATCCTAAACATTTTGAAGAGTTCTCAGGTCTAATATTAAATGTGGTTGCGTCTATTTTACTATTTATTTTTTTTGTCATAAATTTAGAGTTTGGTCTATTCGCGATAACTAAGATAACACGTATTATGATTACGTTATATACGTATAATAATGACGTTAAATTATTTTTAAAACTTCATAAAAAAAACAAAAAAATATTTGGACGGGGTGAATAAAAATATTTCCCAAACGCTGAGTGAAATGCCTCGCAAGCATTCGTTGTTCTTTCGTCCGATATGTTACACGATGACCAAAGATACGGGGGAAAAGTCGAATTATCATCAATATATGTATCAATGAGGTAATCGCAAAATGCATTGGCTCGAATATCGACCGGCGCAACAGATGTATATTAAAGATCAGCACGGGCCGTTTTTTTTTCGGCCAAAAACTTAAACTTATAAAACCGTCGTCGTCTAGGCCCGGTCCATATTTTATTTTTTTTAAGTCTAGTCCGACCAAGCCCGTTTGTAATTTTTTTTTTTTCAAAGTCCAACCCGACCATGGACGTTTATAAATAAAAATATACATCAACTGTATTTCCTTTCAGTATTGACTTAGCTGACAAAAACATTTCATAAAGACAATAAATGTATAACAAAAAAAGAAAAATATGCTAAATTTTATTAAAATTTAAATATAAAATTATTTATAGATATAGAATAAATAATGCTACAAATTAAATTAATTAGTTTTAGCTTTGACCGATCCGGCCCAATGAATAATATTACGGTCCCACCTATAACCAACCCGTAATATTTAAATTATGACCCGTCCCGGACCAAGCCCGATGTGGGTCGGGACAGCTCGGCCCGTACTGATCTCTAATGTGTACCTATAAATTATACCTTTTTTTTTACCGGCGCAATAGATGTACACATTTTTTCCATCCCATAATTTTTCTTCCTTTACCTGCGATTTTCGGCGCAATTGATATAGAGCCCTGTTGGAGGTCTTTGTAATCCCATAACCTCTCTGACAAGATGAATATAATAAAAGCTGCATTGTACATCAATAGAAAACAAATACCTAATAGACAAGTAAAAGATAAATGTCACTTCAAACACACTAGAATGGTTAAAAAAAAAATCATTGAAATATAAAATTTTAATTTGTTAATAAAATAAATTAATTGATACCAGGTCACTTCAGTACAATAATCAATTTGTTTTTGATATGAATTTATAATGGAAATAAATAAATTCTAACCTTGAGCATTTTCACGGAATTATTTAAATATTTGTGAACACTATATAGTTTTCCATTCACAAAATAAAAAGAAACATGTTACTGTCAATTTTCAAATATAACCCAAAGTAGTCAAATTGTAATGGGTGAATGCAAAATTTGCATAATTATTTAAAAGGCTAACTCTATAAAATAAGATCTGTAGATTATATAAAATGATAAATGATTATAATTTTATAATACCATTAAAATTTTTATAAATAACAATCACTAAAAATGGCTCTTGATAATGATTTTCAATTAAGTGGTACATTTGTACATTATCTTCTACATAAGTCATTGGTTCATTGAATAAGAAAATTAAAATGATATATTTCCACAGCTATCTGAATGGTTTCTATAATTTGTTGAGGTCTGAAGCACATTTATTATTTTTCTTCCATTTATATGAACAAATAGCAGATAAACAATACATTTCTAATGAACGGTAAATAATACATTTGTTGTACAAACATTTTAATATAATTAACATTGAGTATATGTGTAAATGTATATATATATAGAATGCGCGGTAAATACAGGGATATACTAGAACAAATTGTACTAGAACCATATGATAACACTACAACAAATGGATCCATTCCAAATACAAATGAGATAAAGAAATGCAACCTTCAGCTGGTATGTAAAACTAAATTACAATAATAAATTAATGTTTATAATACACATATATAGGGCTATACATCAAATATGGTAACTCGGAGTACACAGACTCAGGATGTTTATAAATCAGTTCAAATCCAAACTGGTTTATGTAAAGTTGGCTATCACACTAGTGAAAAATCTACCAGTACAAATCCACTTATTGACTTATGAAACCAAACATTCAGAATAAAATGTATATGAAGCTTTAGACAATAGCCATACCAATGGTTTAGTGTAGCGGTTCCCAACCTAGGGGTAATTACCCTCCAAGGGGTAAAACCAGATATTTTAAAGGGTAAAGACTGGACACTAAATTTTTTTTTTTATGTATTTATTTTATTATGTACAACCTCTTATTACAATCATTACTATTGTTTTATTATGTTCAAATTATATTTATACAGTGTACTCTTAATTATTTTCTACGAAACCACTAATTTTTACGTAAATTCAAACAAAAAATAAAAAAGTTTAATGTTTCTTTACATAATACATATATCCATATTTGCAGTTCCATAAATCGGTCTAATTGGGTGGCGATAATCGACAACTCGTTCATGTTAGGCTTAGCAAACGCGCTTATTAAAAGAGCACACAACACAAAAAAAAAATTCTTTAAATTTTTATTAAGTTATTGTTGCTACGGCTATATGAAAAGATTTGGTGAAAATCCGATTGAAAAAAAAATTATTTTAAGAGAGAAATGTAGAATAGCCACGTGACGTCGTCACTGATCCTTACTCATTGTAATTGTCTATCTTATATGTGTAAAAGTTCCTCGATTCACACAATAATTTACCAACCTAAACATTTTATTTTTGAAATTTAATTTGCATATAACTGTGTAGTTTTATGTGTTTAAGACTATGCAAGTATCAGTATTTTAATATGACGTATAGTTTTTCAAATATTAAAAATCTTAAGAGACATTTTTGTTGTTAAATGGCACGTCATGGTGAGCAGAGATCGAACAATGAGTCCGCAAACCGCCACAATCTAATTCTACATTTTACACACTAAACATAACATTTAGTATATACGTTCAACCAAATTTTAAAAATATGCAATAATGTAATAATTAATATTTTATATAAATGTGAGTAGTGTGTAAAATCCGTAGAATTAAATTAGATGATTAGATAGTCGTGGTCGGCAAACCTGTTGTTCAATCTCCTCTCGCCATAACCTACCGTTTAACAAAAAGGTATTAAGATTTTTAATATTTGAAAAAATAAACGTCATATTGAAATTTTGACACTTGCATCGTATTAAAAACATAAAACCACACATTTATACACAAATTTAATTTCAAAAATAAAATGTTTAGGTTGGTAAATTGTGCGAAGGGAGGAACTTACACATAATAAGATAGGCAATTATAATGAGCAAAGCCCAATGACGTCACACATCTTTTTTTCAATTGCTCATTACTTAATGAATAATGTGAGTAAAACATAAAACCTATACCATTATTCTTAAAATTGAACATTCTTTCAAATAAAATAAAACATATTTTTTGTTATGTGCATTTTTAAGCGGGTAGGGGTATTTACTAATATCTTACCCGGTTTACGGGTAATAATCTCGAAAAGGTTGGGAACCTCTGGTTTAGTGTAATCAACAAGAAAATATTGCTTACTACAAGGTAACAACAAATTAATTAATTAAAAAATGAAAATCAATTTAGGCATTAAATTGTTATTATTCAATTAAAAATTAATTGTAATTATAATATAGATTAATGTCTTAAATTATTGTATAAGTATTCTAAAAACACAAAATGGTCATTAAAATTGTTTACAAATATGTTTATACATTTAAAAATTATCGCTAAAAATAATACCTAGCAACTGTGCAAAGTATGAAAAAAATATATATTTCACTCAAAAAAAAAAAAGACATAAAAAATAGACATTAACCTAAATTGAATGCCAAGACCATTTTACTTTTTTTTTTTTTTTAGGAATGAAAAATTATAATACTTTTTGAGAAATCAGTATTCTCTTTATAAAAAATTTACCTCGAACTTCCACAAATACATGGAGAAACACAAAGTAGTCATAATTTTAAATTTAAGAAAATTTTTGAGGGAGGGAGAAAAGTAGGATTTTCAGTAAAATTGTTTTGTCTAGTAAGTAAAATTATGATATAAAATGATTTTTTAAGAACTTCATCATACCAAACGTTCTGAAACGTTTGACTCCAATAACTTTCATTAAATCATCATCACAAATAGCGTATTGTTTGTTGGATGGATCCTTAAAATATAAAAAAAGAATAATTATTAATGACTAATCATTTTAAATTAGAAATAATACAACTTACATAAAGATTTCTTTCTTTAATTATAGCCCACATCTTTTTAACAACTTCATGACGTGGTAAAGCTTCAGATCCCATTAATGAAGCAAGTTCAGGACTAAGAGTTATGGATTTGGTATACCCACTGTTTGCTCCACGTTTGGCCTTTAACAATTAAATATAATTATTAATATTCAGTAAAATATTCAATATTTTGTCGTTAAAACACATACACCCCCAGCTTTTTTAGCTCCTTTTTTGGCTCCTTTCCAGTCTTCATCACTGTCACTATCATCCTTCTTCTTGCGTCCACGTTTAGCAGCAGGAGCCTTCTTTTTTGATGGGGTACCTTTTTTAGGACTATAGTCACCATCATTTTTGTCGCCATCATCCTATTTATAATATTTTTCGATATTAATATATTTATGTTCAGTAAAAAAAATTACTTACATCATCAGATCCAGCACTCTCATCACTAGTATCAGCCTTTTTACGTTTGGGAACTGATACTTTTTTTGCAGGTTTCACTTCTTCTTCTTCCTCATCATCATCATCTTCATCATCATTTTCGGCATCATCATCATCATCATCATCGTCGTTTTCATCATCACTATCCCCTTTGCCATTCTTCTTGGTGGCTTTAGCTTTTTTAATACCTTCCATTACTAAAGAATCAATTTCTTTTTTCCTACAACAAAATAAAAAATTATTTAACGATTAATAAGTAATAACTTAAATGTAATATTACCTATCATCAAGATCCGTATCTAATTTCTTTTCAAGTTCTTGTCTAATTTTCTTTGCAGAAGTTTTTGTCAAATCTGCTCCTTTTAATAGAGCTAAAAAAATTAAATTGTTAAAATTAACAATTTGAATACTGTATTTCATTCAATAAAATAACTAATTAACATTATGATATTATTACTTAAGAATTTTTTGTTACAAAATGTACATAAAGGTTGGTTACACAAATTAAATAAAAAATTGTAACATAATTTATACATATATATTATAAAGTTGTAAAATCAAAATTCAGTATTTTAAAGGAACAACCTAACCTAACTACAGAGTTTATAACTTAGTTATATTTTTTAGATATACATATGTTATAACAAAAAGGTAAAATTTGAGAATTAGTATCAAGTGTAAATAAATAAAATTATACTAAAAAATGTATAAAAATCTAATTAATAAATCAATATTAAACAATATTTATACAATACGCTTAATATATATTATTAAACAATTTAAAAGAAAAATTATGTTATTAATTTTTAGAAGGGATTAGAAAGGAATAAATTTTTTTACTATAAAGAACATACAATGAAACTCTACAGAAAAAAAAACATTGTTAAATGTTTATCAGCCACCTATTATAACAAATTTCAATATACTATTCAAACATGTAGGAACAAGACTAAATTTATATTTTTAGACTATATAATTTATATACTTGATGAACTTTTTGAATTCAAATTGATTATAGTTAATATGGAATATGATAGATAAGTGCATAAAGACAATCACACCTACATTTGACGAATACGCCAAATTTTCAAAAATACAGTTTACTAACCAAGGAGATTTGTTTCTATTCCATGTATTCAATAAAATCGATTATGTTAAACCTCAGAAATACTGAACAATAATCGACTGCATGTAATAAAATTAATCAGATAGCTAGATTACGACGATGTTGCAATTGAAATAAATTCTTAATTATTCCGTCTCAACCCGGCATCACAAATTTTGCCGCCATCGGTTCTGTATTATCTTTACGTTTCCGATATCCCCAATTCCTCAGAGTACTATTACGACCACGGTGGAACCGTAGCAAACGCCGTATACGATTAGTCGGAAAACAGCGACGTTCCACCGTGCAAGCGAATATCCAACGACCGTTGTGAAGTGGAAGTAATAAAAAATAAAAAAAAAAAAGGATGGCCGCCGCGGATTTTTTATTTTCCTGATGTCAACGACGACGACGCCGCCGCTTTTGTTTACACCGCGGCCGGCGCCGCGCTATCTAGCGGACGCGCGCGG